AGAACTACTAGTCCACACTCAGACAGTTTATTAAAGGCAAGGAGCTTTATCAGGAGTGCAGAGAGAAGCTGAGAGACACCCTACCCTCCTCTCTCAGCTCCCCAGTTCTCCAACAACTCATCTACAGCCCAGCACCCAGGGGTGACCCTAGGAAGCAGGGCTGGCGTCAGGCAGACTGCACTGCATAAATATTCGGAGGCCACAGCCTGAATCAGCAGCGTCAAGGGGGCAGGGAGACCTGGTTTGGGGCAGAAAAGGGTGGCTCCAAGGGTACCTCTTCCAGGGCTTGCCCTGAGCCCGAGGACCCCCCAAGCCAGAGAGAGGGGGCCTGTGGGCTGCCCTGGGGTCTGAGGCTGTGGCCAGCCCTGTCCCGCGAGGCTGGCAGGGAGAGGAGCGGGGCGGGGCGCCGCCTGGCCAGGGTTCCGGGGCACAGGGCGGGGTCAGGTGCTATTGCCCTGCTCCTGCTCAAAAAGCAGCATGGCCAGCTGGGTGCGGGAGCCGAGGCTCTCGAGCGCGCTCTGGCGGCAGCGGTGGTACAGGTCCTCGCTGAGCCGCGCGCTGCACGTCTGGGCCCGATAGCGCTGCAGCAGCGCAGGCTCCACGGCCCTCAGCACGTGCAGGCTGGAGAAGCGCAAGAACAGCTCGTACACATCCAAGCTCTCCAGCAGCTCCTCCTCCTGCTCCGAGGCTGCCGCCAGCCGCGCCCGGGCCGCCACGTAGTCGGAGTTGTAGAAGCAGGCCTCACTGGCTGCCTGGCGATCGAAGCGGCCCGTGTCTCGGCCCAGCTCCGGGGGTCCCGGGCCCTGGGGTGGAGCCACGGCGGGGTGAAAGGCCTGGAAGTGCATGGGAAAGAAGGCCTGCCAGCCAGAGATGGCGTGCATGCGGCAGCGGTTCAGGAAGTCTGGAGTGAGCACTGTGTCTGGCCCGGCCAGCAGGAACAGCGTGTCCAATGGGTGCTTCTTGGAGAGCAGATCCATGAGGCGCAGTGGCGAGGGTGCGGCTGTCTGCACGCTGAGCCAGGGCACCCGGGCACCGGGAAAACGCCGCTCCAGCTCTGCCACATGGGTCTTGACAGGTGCAAAGACATCTGCATGGGCCGCCCGCTGGGCCTGTCGTGGCTCGTACAGTAGCAGCAGGGTCAGGGCTGCTGCAGCATCGCCGGGCTCCAGTGCAGCCGCGGCAAAGGCCTCCAGGAAGCCAGGGGCCAGGTCACGCTCGGCTGCAGCCAGTGGCAGTAACACAGTGAGACGTGAGGCCTCGGTGACGTAGGGCACAGGCAAGATCTCCACGCGACTCAGTGGCCGTAGTAGCTGCACCCTGCGAGTGAGGGGCCGGCGGCCTCCCTGGGGGGTCAGCGCCTCCAGCTGCAAGTCCAGCGTGTACTCCATACCCCGGACAGGATCGAAGCGTCGGTAGCCATTAACCAGCTGCTGCTTCTGGAGCCGCAGGGCTGGGTGGTATCGGCGGTTAAGCTCCTCCAGAGCTGCCCCCAGAATGTCAGCCACATCAGCCCTGTCAGCCCCGCGCAGTGGGCAGCGGGGCGAGCCATCAGCGCAGGAGAAAGCGTGCTGCTCTGTGAAATAGTCCCAGCGCAGTACCTCAAAGCGAGAGGCCGGGCGGGATGGTGCTGGAATGCCCACGGGCCAGGCGGCTGCCCGCTCCCCATCGGCTGCCAGACGGCTGGTGTTCTGGATCTCCCACTGGATTGAAGAAACAGGCCATGAGTGAGGCCTAGATCACGGGGGCCAGCACACAGCTGGGGGACTGGGCAGGTATTAGATGCCACTCAGGATGGGTTCCCCTACCCTTGCCAACCTCTGCCCACCCAGGGCCCCCACCTGTCCTTTCCCCAGATGGAGGAAGCCTGAGAGTCAAATGGGGGTTTCTGGAAAGGCTTCTCAGAAAAGGAGAAACAGATAGGGACTGGGAAGCAGGTTTGTGCTGTGATACTAGTGCTAATTTTTTATTACTCTGAGATGTCTGAGACCTCTCAGCCACCCCTCACCCCTGCCTCTGACCTGTCCTCCAGCCCAGATCATACCTGTAACTCCTGAATCTCCTGGTATGTGCGTTCCAGCTCAGCTCGGGCAAAAGCCTTGTGCAGCTGGTACATGTGCACAGGGTCACGTACAGGGTGAGCCGTCAGGGCACTGCGGAAACGAGGGTCCCCCTCCTGCACGGGCTCCCTAGGGCTTAGCTCCAGGTAGCTATAGTGTACCCCCTGGGGAGGAGAAAGGGGTGCATAATGGGAAACATGAGGTGATAGTTGCCCCACCACACCTAATAGTATGTGTATCATCTTCCCATTCTATGGCCTGTTGTGGACTTGGGGTCAGAATTCTGTGGGTTTAGGTCTACCTTGACCAGTTGTGACCTTGGGCAAGCCTCTGCTAGCTCATCTGTGAAATGGGCATGCATCTTATCTCAGAGCCATCCAGGAGCTCAAGTAAGATAATAATCGCCAACATCGAACACCTACTATGTGCAAGTCTTCCTTATTTTTTTCTTAATCCTCATAACAACCTTGAGGAATAATTATTTCCATTGGTATGGATGGGGATACGGAGGCTCAGGGGATTCAGGAATTTACCCAAGGTCACAGGGATACAAAATGACAGAACTGGCACGGAAAACCAGGCCTAGATCTCCAACCACCCCCTTTGCCTCTCAGGGGGAAGTGTACAAGCCCCGACAGGAGGCACCGGTGAACTGACTTATCTTCCTACCTCGTGGTCGCCAGTGCAGCCCATCCCAGTGGCATCCAGAATGCAGCGGCCCAGCCACTCATCCGGGCGTGCACTGACGATGTCGTTGCGGCAGCTTTCCAGATGGGGGCGCAGCTGCTGCAGCAGTGTGCGCGACAGCAGCACCCCAAAGCCACCGTGGCAGTAGCGGCCTGGAGCGGGCTCTCCACCGATGAACTCTTGGGGTCGGCCCAGATAGAGGTGGGCAGCGGCTGCCAGGCTGAGGCGGCCAGCTAGGCGCGCCAGTCCGTGCGCCTCGGTGTAGGTGGCATCGGGCACCAGGAAGAACCAGTCAAAGTCGTCGCCGTGCTGCTCCAGCAGGTGGCGCAGTGCCAGGTGCAGGTGCCCGATGGGCCGCTCCTCGCCCAGTGTCACCACGGCCATGCCAGGTGGTACGCGGCGGCCCCGCGAGCCTGTCAGGAACACCACACGCTCTAGCCGGTGCCCCAGAGTGCGGTTCACGGCCACACCCAGCGTGGGCAATGTGGCCTGTGAGGTCAACACCGCCACAAGCAGCCTCTGCCTGATGCCCAGCTCCGTGCTGATGTAGCGGGTCCTGGGTGGGGGAGGGGTGAGAAGATAGGGTTATTAAAAAGACAACAAGGTAGGCAGAGGGCAGCGTACATAGGCTCTGGCAGGTCACATCCTTTCTGGGCTTGTTTCCTCACTTATGGTAGGATAAGAATAAGTCTCTCCCGGGGTCATGAGGATTTAAGTGAAATACTGATTGGCCTTTTAGGAGATGGCACTATCCATGCAGATATGAGAGATACATTGTGGGTCTGATTCCCTGTTTCATTACTTAGTAGTTGGGTCCTTGAGCAAGTTATTTAACCTATCTGAGCCTTGGGTAGCCTCATCTGTAAAATGGGGCTGATTTTATCTCTTTAAAGCACTTAGCCAAATGCTTGGCACACAGGTAACTCCACACATCAGGTATATACTTATTTCTAAATATTATGCCATTACACGAATATATCACATAAATGATGTAAAGGAATAAATGGCATAGAGATGTAGTGAATGTGTTTGGGGGAAGGGCAAACTAGGGCTCGGGTTTCAGCAACTTACCTTCCGTAACACAGAAATGAAATGAACTCAGTGTTACTTAGGAGGAATTGTTTCAACTCATATGCAGAGGCATGAATGGGATGGGTACCTCACTCTTCCCCCACAAACCTCACCCCCTCAAATGCCCACACAGGAACAAGAGATACAAGTAAATCCTAGTTATCGCTTTTCTCTTTCCCTCTATGAACCCACTCTATATACCAGTCATTTTTCTAAACCCAGCACCCACCCAGAGGGCTAAGAGGATCTTTGGGGAACCATGGGTTCAAGCAGGTTTAGGAAAGAGGCGGGCAAGTTCTATCCAGGCCTGGATGGGGCCGAGAGAGGCCTCAGATGGGCTCCACACCTCCCGGGGAAGCAGGGCCATAGGAAATTATTGGGGCGCAAAGACTTCCTGGCAGGCCAGCCCCTTCCTTCCGGACCCTGGCCCAGCCCTAGCGGCCTCCACGGCCCGTCCGTCCCGGCCGGTTCCCAGG